GCTTATTTGGGTTGTTTGCGTGGAATTTAGCTATGAGGCAGTCAGGCTGGATGTTTCTACTCTTTACCCAAGACACCTCTGATAAGGGATAGCCCTTCCACTTGATTAGATATTGGAACTGTCTCCTGTGCCACCTCGAGTTGAGAATTTGTTGTACTTCATCGTAGTTTTCCCCCCTATGATGACTGGGTAGTGGGACGCACAGGTTAGTGGTCCCAGTGTTGACCTGACCACAGGTTTTAAGAGGCTACTATGGAATACCAGGTGTATCTTCCCTAGCAATCAGGGCATTTCTAATAGTACCGTGGCCAGGTTGATGATCTTCAGTATGGGGAATGGCCCAAAGAACCTGGGTCCCAGCTTCTTACTAGGGAGTTTTAACTTCAAGTATTTTATGGAGAGGTAGACTTTTCCCTTCAGCTGGAATGGTCATTGTGGCTTGGTGTTTCTCTTCCTGTTTCTTATAGGTCTGTGCCATTTTAGCTAGCATCTTCTTGATGTTTTCCCATGCTGTTTTTAGTGTCAACACAGTCTGTCAAGCTAATTGAGGAGGGGGGGAATCCTTTGGGTATTCTGGCATTGGGACAAAGTCCATGCCACTGTAAGGTCTTTCCTCTCCAATTTTCCCAAGATAGCAGGAGTCTTGAAACTGCAGTTGTTCCAAAAGAAGCTTTTATTGAAAGGCTTGTGATAACAAGAGATCTAGCAAGAACTGAAGCTTCTCACTTAAAACCAGCTATTTAAAGCAATGCTAACCAAACCCCTACACACTACATCATTGCAAAGAAACAGAAACTTCATTTAGAGATTAACACGGTAATGTAGGAAACAGAAACAGAAACTTCATATACAGATCCCTCCATCCTTCCCCACTTCCTCCCACCAAAATGCCAATGTCCCTGTAGAAATATCTGGGACCTGACATGCACTCCCCCCTTAAAAACGTGAAGTCTACCTTAAAGAAAACAAAAGAGGGAAGAGGAGACAAAGGAAACATAAAATCAACAAAGTTTGTAAGGGTACAATTGATGAAATATACATACTAATTTAGGCCCATGCACATGTTTTTTGTGAACCCATTCATTGTGTGAAAAGAGGAGGTGTTTCCAAGCCACCAAGTATCAAGCAGTCCCATGGGATTTTCTAGAATCAAGAATTTTCTGAACCTCAAAATGTTGTTCATCCAATACCATAATAGGGGGCAGAAACAGGGTAGTAGTTGGACGAAGATCAGAGGTGACTTCAGACTTCAATAAGCTACAATGGAAAATGGGGTGGACTTGTCGTAATGAGTTAGGGAGTTGCCCCCATTGGTGCTTGGGTGAAAAGTCGAGCTAAGGCCCTTGGATGACCCAATGGACTGCAGGAACTCCCTCCAGAACTTAACCATGAACTGAACCCCTCTGTCTGAGATAATTCTTTGAGGTACTCCATGCAGGCGGTAGATGTGTTTCAGAAACAGTTTCGCCAGCTTGTGAGCTGAGGGTAGTCTGCTGAGGGGTATGAAGTGTGCTGTTTGGAGAACAGTCCTATTACAATTCAAATCACCATGTTTTCCCCACTTTTCAGCAACTCCACTAAAAAGTCCATTGCAATCTCCTCCCAGTGCCTCGTTGGCTCTGCTACCGGTTGCAGCAGTCCAGGAGGGGTTTCTGGTCATCTTTTCATTGTGGCGCAGATGGTGCAACTTTTCATGTAACTGTCCACATCTTTCTTTATTTCGGGCCACCAGAACTGCCTCAGGGCTAAGTGTAAAGTTTTTAGGAATCCAAAGTGGCCTGCCGGTTTGATGTCGTGGCTCCTCTGGAGAATTAGGGTGCGTAGGGATTCTGGGACATAGAGTTTTGTCCCCGTCCATGCAAGGTCATCTCTTTTTGTCAAGATGTGTTGGTTGTTTTGAAACCAGAGAGTCTGCTAGCAGTTCAGTTTTGAATCTCATGGTTAGGTCGCCTGCTAGTTGGTCGTGCCGGTCACTTGATTGTGCCGGCGTTGTCATCTGATGGTCACTTGGGTAGCTATTTGGCATCCACCACTTGCTCCCATTCACATTTGTACTGGGGCATACGGGAGAGGGTGTCAGCTAGAAAGGTCCTGAGAGCCTCTAGAATTTTGTGGTCAGTTCAGACTTTGAACAGTTTCTGGCCCCCTTCCAACAGGTGTCTTCAGGTTAGTAGTGCCCATCTCACTGCGAAAGCCTCCTTTTCCGTTGCAGCCCCTCGTCTCTGTGTGTCTGTGAGCTTGCAGGAAGTGTAGGTGCAGGTTGTAAGTTTCCTTCATTGTTCCTTTAGAGTAGCACCGCTCTCACTGCCATGCCGCTGGCATCTGCTTGGATCACAAAGGGTTGCTCGTGGTCAGGATGCTTCAGCACCAGTTCCTTTGCAAACATTTCTTTTAGTGTCTCAAATGCCTTTTGGCAGGTTAGGTCCCACTGTATAGGTTGCCCTGGGTGAGGTTTTGTTCCTTGGCTCCCTGTCTTTAAGAGGTATATCTTGGGTTTGGCAATTTTCGCAAAGGAGGGAATGAATTGCCTATAGAAGTTGACGAACTCTAGGAAGCTTTGTAGCTGTCTGCGGGTGTGAGGTGGTTGCCAGCCTAGGACAGCTTGTACTTGGGCTGGGTCCATCTCTATTCCCTCATTTGACACTCGGTAGCCCAGGTAGTCTAGCCGTGCATGAGGGAATTCAGTTTTGATAGCTTGGTGTACAGGTTGGCTGCCAGAAGTTTTTCCAGTACCTGTCAGACCAGGGGAATGTGGTCATTCATGGTCTCTGTGTAGATGCGGATGTTATTCAGGTAGACGAGGACCCACTTGTAGAGGTGCTTGTGCAGCACCTTGTTTATTAACTGCATGAACACTGCTGGCGCTCTCTGCAGTCCAAAAGNTAACAACAGTGTTACTAGTTTAACAAGTGCAATGATTTAAGAAATATGGCAAGAAAAGTTGTAAAATGGGGCAAAACTCACTTAACAAATTTCTCACAGCAACATAATTTTTGGGCTCAATTGTGGTCGTAAGTCAAGGACTATACATATTATTTTTAAAAATTCCATCATTCATAGCTGGCTAGTTTTGGCTGGCTAGGGTTGGGGAAGGAAATTTGGATTAAGATATATGTTAATGAAATCCAGTAGAAAAGTTCTTAAAGGTATATATCACATAATGGCTTTTGGAAAATTAAATATTCTAGAAAGTGTTTTGTGATATGATGAATTGTTAAAAAAAATTATATTGGCGGTTGAATGAATTTTGATAATTTGCTTTATTTCATTCTGTGCAGCCATCTTTCTACAGTTCTGGGAAACAAATTTGACCATGGAGCAGAAGCCATTGTGCCTACTCTATTTAATCTGGTCCCTAATAGCGCCAAAGTAATGGCTACTTCTGGATGTGCAGCCATTAGATTTATTATCCGTGTGAGTATATTTCTATGTTACTTTAAAAAGCTACTGCCAATTAGGCATAAAACTAATAATCAAGCATTATTTTTAACAAAATAAACTCCACATTTGCCGTATGTAGACAATAATCTATTGCAGGGGTATCAAACTCGTTTTCATTGAGGGCCACATGAGGGTTGTGTTTGATCTTGGCCCAGAATGAGTGTGGCAGCATGACATCACTCATCTCAATGGTTGAAGCACCGGGCCTAAACAAAACAGAAGCTTACTTGCTCTAGAACCAAATAAAGGGTTTATTTAGGCCGAAATCATGGCACGCAATGAGTCGGCGAAAAGTCCTTTTTAGCAAGTTCATTAAAAAGTCAGTAATGGAAGCATTCACCTTCCAGTGCTTTTTAGAGGCTTCTTCCAGCCCCTGGGCATGCCTCCACCTGGTAGCCAGACGTAGCTACTTACACAGTAAGTAGTTTCTTCTTGGTGGCAGCTCCAATGCTTTCAGCCTCGATCAGCTGTTCAATGGCTGATCGTCGGCGAGCTCCCTGGCTCACTGCCAATTAGCTAAGTCTCGCATGCCGGCACCAATGAACCGCTCAATGATCTGCTGTATGGTGCCCGGAAAATGGCTTCCTCCCATGCTGCCAGCCAGATATCCTCTGTGCTTGCTGCTGCTAGGGCTTGCCTGACACTCGCCCACCACCCAACTCCCCCCCCCCCAGGTATGGCAAACTCCAGAGTGGGATTTGACAGGCAGCTCCCCTCTACCAGGGTTGCACCTGGAAGACAGTAAAGCAGGCATTTCTTTAACAGATAATAAGCACACCTAGCCCTGGTTTGTGGGGATATTGCTTGTGGAACCTTTGGATTAGCTTGAATCAGCTTGTCTGAGCTTCCTATAGAACCTCTGGTTGATACCTGGGCTGCTTGTTGAGG